ACGATTTGCCTAGCGAATATGGCGTTCGTTGGTGTAGCTCGATGAACACTGGCCGTCTATCGAAAGGATCGATCCACTTCTTCCTGGCGTTCGTCGACGAAAGAGGAGACGAACGAACGAAAGGGACAAAGCAAGAAGAGGACAAGCGAATGGGGAAGCCGCGGCGCAGCAACGAGAGTGAAGAATAGATAATATAAATATCTCGACGGACATTTTAAGAGAAATACGGGGGAAACTTAGGTGATCTGCGATCGAACACATTTTTCGTCGGATTAATCCAATACTTCTTCGTTCAGAGAAGAATGGAAATAATGGAAAACGAGATTAGCAAGAGGAAGAAGAAACGGGAAGAGGAAAGATAGATAGATAGATAGATAGAGAGAGAGAGAGAGAGAGAAAGGATAGAGAAAAAATAAAAAAAAAATATAACACACGATAAATCTTTCTTACACCGTTCGTACATCCTCTATTAATTAATTAATTAATTAATTATTAAATACGACTTTACGAGAGTATAAATCGATTATATATATTATATATATAAATATATATATAATAGGAAAGAATACATGTTTTTTCGGATGAGGAGGACGGGAAAGAAAGAGAAAGGAGACAGTTCTCCATCCGCGAGTAAATAAACAATCGAAGAAACACTTTTGCGATCTTGTTATATAATATATATATATATATATATAATTAATATACGTATATATATATATATATATATATGTATCTTATGACAGATCTTATGTGCGCGCACGCGTGTATTCGTGGCACGCGCGTTCAAAGAAATGGAACCAAGTTGTTTTTTTCTTTCAAAAATCGTTGAATTTTCTTTACTGAAGCTTTCGTTTTATTTTCTCTAACTTTGTTTCGTCGATTTCGCTTTTAATTGTACAATATATTTATTCATCGAGTATTTGCGGTATTGATCGAGCAATGTAATAGAGAATGCTAAGAAATCTCCGAGTGAGGCAACATGCATTTTTTTTTTCTTGTTCGACTTTTAAAGTGATATCGATCCTTGGTTGACTAACGCTTTTGTCAATTGTGAGTCTCGAGTAAATAAATTGAAGTCTCGTGATCGAGGGCGTTCGAAAACGCGCGCGCCGCGATCTACCGCGTATGTATGTACAGTGATATATAGCCGACAGCAGAATGTGAGCGAGTGGAGAATGCGAGAGATGAAACGGCGGCGGAAAGGAAA